AGTCTTGGTTTAGATCTAGTTTAGATCTAGTTTAAATCTGGTTTAGATCTGGTTTAAACCTGGTTTAGACCCGGTTCAATCCCGGTTCAGTCCTGGTTCAGTCCGGTTGAGACCTGGTTGAGACCTGGTTGAGACCTGGTTGAGACCTGTTTCAGTCTTGGTTTAGATCTAGTTTAGATCTAGTTTAAATCTGGTTTAAATCTGGTTTAAACCTGGTTTAGACCCGGTTCAGTCCTGGTTCAGTCCTGGTTCAGTCCGGCATCGCGGTTTAGGTCAGATCCGTTATTGTTTTTTTCCATTATTCATTTAAACCCAAAATCAAAAACAGAAAAAAATTAATCGTTATCTTTTTTTTTTTTTCATTTTGGTTTTGGAGACAAATAATGAAGTTTTTCCATTTTCTTATTTTTAGTTTTATTTTGAAAAACAAATGAACGAATGACACACAGATTCTCCACCAGAAAAGTTAAAATTACTTAAAGAACATTTGACTTTATTTTCAAATTTTCAACTTGACGAGTAAAATTATCCACCAATGGAACAAGTGTTTTTTTCTTAATTAAAGCAACATTTGATTTTGTTTCTTATTTTAAGTGCAAAAAGTTGTTATTTTTCTTATCTTAAAAGTGTCACAAGCTGCATAATTTTACTCGTCAAGTGAAATTGACTAAAATCCTGGTAAAAATTTCATCTTAACTCAGCCAGACTTTAGTTTTTGCAGTGCACATGCTCAGGTGTTTGAGTAACACGGTTTTACGGGCCGCGTCTCATTTCTCCTTCCTCGCTTCCTTCTCCTCGTTTCCTCTCCTCGATTCTGCAGGAAACGGGTGAGGAAGTCCCACAGTCCCACCCACAGAGAAGAACGTTTGATTCTTTTCTCTGGCGTCTGCTCCTGGAGGTTTCTACTCGGGTTTTACTCCTTCCTTTCGCGGTTTTCTTCGGGGACAAAACTCTTAATACGACAGGTTTGATTGACAGCTGAAAAACGGAGGATCGAGGCGAGGGAAGCGAAGAAAGAGAAATGAGACGTGGCCCAAGTTTCCGTTCATAGTTTTAGACTCTTGGAGGAGCACAGATGGAAAAAAAGAGTTTACGGTGCAATGCTGAGAGATAAAATTCAACAGAAGAGAACCTGATAATGTGTATTTGTTGTTGTATTTGAATAAAATAATAAAAAATATATATTTAGCTGAGACATTTAACTACAGAATTCCACAGATCTTACATTTTGTTTATAGACGACATCAATTATATGAGGTAAGAAAATAAGATGGAGTGTAGCGTATTAATCTGTGTATCATTCGTTCATTCGTTTCTCAATATAAAACCAAAAATAAGAAAACGAACAAACAACAGTTTTCTTCATTATTTGTCTCCAAAAACAAAATGAAAAAAACTGATATCGATTCGTTTTTTCAGTTTTTGATTTTGTGTTTAAATGAAAAATGGAAAAAATGGATAACGACCGTTTCCTGTTTACGTGACTTCCGTGACTGCGATGCCGACTTTTGCACTGCGTACGGACTGAACCAGGACTGATCCAGGACTGATCCAGGTCTGAGACCAGACCAGGACCAGAGCAGGACCAGAGCAGGACCAGAGCAGGACCAGAGCGGGACCAGAGTGGGACCAGAGTGGACTCCAAGCTTTGACTCCGAGCCTCCGCAGGGTCCGAGCCTCAGCTTTGAGCTCCGGCCCTGCCGTGGGCTCTGAGCCTCCGGCCTGGTCCTGCTCTGGTCCCGGTCTGGTCCCGGACCTGGTCCATTTGAACTAAAAGCTCTTAGTTCGGTTCATTTTCGTTGGTGTGAAAGCGTCAATCGGATGTTTTGCACCACCTCGGAACCAGTCGTGGTTCTTGAGTGTGGAGGACCGGAGCAGCCCGTCCGGACCTGTAGTCCACAGAACATTCTCACTTTCCCCGCACGGAACCAGCACACAGATGATGACACGGAACCACTCGGAACACTGGTCTCGGTCTCAGTCCCACTCTGGTGTCCCACTCTGGTCCCGGTCTCAGTCCCACTCTGGTCCCGGTCTCAGTCCCACTCTGGTCCCGGTCTCAGTCCCACTCTGGTCCCGGTCTGGTCTCGGACCTGGATCAGTTCTGGCTCAGTCCGTATTCAGTGCAAAAATCCGGCATCGCAGTCACAGAAGTCACGGAAACAGCTGTTATCCGTTTTTTCCATTCTTCATTTAAACACAAAATCGAAAACTGAAAAAAGGAATCGTTATCTGTTTTTTCATTTTGGTTTTGGAGACAAATAATGAAGAAAACTGTTGTTTTGTTTTCATATTTTTGGTTTTATATTGAACAACGAATGAACGAATGACACATGGATTCGTATAAAAGTGAAATAAGTTAAATATATGTTACTATAAATGCCAAAATCAGCTCTTTAAACATGTTCTTCGGGAGACGGGACCAGTCTCGTGCCACAGAAAATGATCCACATGAGAATATTTTTCGTGCTTTTACATTTGGATTGGATAAAAAATAGAGTAACAGAGTTGGCGAGTTACATTTTTGAGAAGCTGTAATCCAAAAAAGCAGAAATATTAAATAAAGAAAAACAAAAATGGTGAGCCCAAAATTTGAAACTGGATTGTACAATTTTTATTATAAACAATGTCAAAATCTCATCTCGTCTTGTTCTCGTGTCTCGTTTTGTGGAAATTGTATCTGGTCCCGCTCCTACGGTCTACACGCTGGACTCTCGCCCTGAATCTGAGGGTCACTCACAAACGAAGCCAAACTCAACAAAGTGAAAACCTCCAAAAATGATTTCTAAATTTGTCAAAACTTTCACAGAGTCTGGAAAAGAGATCTCCTCCAGAAGAACACAGCAGAGGTCTGATACAGAGACACAGCAGGAGAGGAAACGTATGGGTTTAACTTTACTGACTTTAAGGTCTATAGACAGAAAAAACTGGAGGGTTAAAATATCAGAGTTGTTTTTGTGTTACCGTATTTTCTGCACTATTAGACACTCTGGATTATAAGGCGCACTGTCATTAAATGGTCTATTTTCGAACTTTTTTCACAAATAAACCACACTGGACTTTAAAGGAAACACAACAGTGTGATGGGTGAGTGGTTTTGTTTGTTTGTTCGTTCACGGTGACTCTGGGCTTTGTTCAGTTGTGGCGTGTAGGGAGGTGCTGTCTGGGACCAACGGATTGTCGGCGTGTTCGCAGTGACTCAGTTGTTCAGTCGTGTCTAGAAGTGGCACATCGCGCTCGCTTTTTCGGTTCGTTCCTCCGTTCCGTTCCTCGTTGGCGTGGAGTGATGAGTCCGTGTGTGTTTGCGTGTTCTGCGGGTGGTGCGGCTTTGTAGTTTAATGAAGTCGTGCTGGGACACCAGAGTGGATTCGTGTACAGGACGCTCTGGATTTTGGGGTGCGCGGTCGTTTTTTGATGGGTTAGAGGCTTAAGAGCGCGTCTAAAAGCCCGGAAAATACGGTATTTTAACTATCTGAAAGTTAAATGAGAGTTCGAGTTGGGTTTATTAGCCCATTAGAGTTGATATGGTTCAAGTTAATTCAGCTTCTTTAAGTGTTAATTTGGCTCCTCCCACCCACCACTTCAAACTCCTGTAAGAGAAGACCAGTTTAAACCACTTTTGTGAATAATTTCATCTTTTACAATGTTTTAAAGAAGACTAGAAAAGCACTCAGAGAGCGCAGACCTCCGCCAAGGACTACAGTCCCCCTCATATTAATTGTGTTTTCCATAAATATTTGTCTCGTATCTTTCAGTTTGGAATATGAAAGAGGATCCCATTGTCCATCCCTGAGTCAAATTTCATGGGGTTTGGTCCATAATTAACCGAGATATTGAGAAACAAAATTTTGGCCCCATTTACCACAATGTTAACTAAAATTTCAAAGTGATCCAGAATCCAGGATTTCTTCCGGATCACCCCCAAAATGAAATCAGTTCTTCCTTTTCCCATTTCCAACAAATCCTGAAAATTTCATCAAAATCGGTCCATAACTTTTTGAGTTATGTTGCTAAAAGGCAAACAAACAAACAGACAAACGCCGGTAAAAACATAACCTCCTTGGCGGAGGTAATAAAGGCTTTACATGCACTGACTGTGTTTTTTTTTTTTTACAGTGTACCTTATTTTTTTTTTCACAGTGTGTAGTTACTACTCACCAATATGTTAAATGAACTAAAATAACACTTCTGTGTGTTGTTTAACTAAATCAGGATAACAGGAACTTCCAGCGTTACTTAATTAACATTTCCAAAAATGTTATTTTAAGTCTAGAACAGATTGGACTCATGTAACCCCTGAGAAAATGTTAAATATTTATTCTGAGTCAGTTTTAACACTCCACTTTTTGCTGTGCGTGGTGCAATATTGAGATAAAATTCAATGGAAAAGAAGCTGATAAAGTTGTTGTGTTGAAATTGCCACGATACTAAAATTTCAACCTCAGTTTTGATATTAAGGAATAGACTTGATACTTAATACTGATTAAAATATCACAATAAGAATAAAAACACTTTCTTTAGACAACAGAAAGTGATTTTCAACATTTAATCATAGTAGTTTTTTATATTAACCACGTGGCCTTAATAATCAAGCCTTGCACTTGTAATGCACTTTCACTCCACACAATGATACAAAGATACTATTGTAGTCACAGCTGCCCTGGGGAAAACTGACAGAAGTGAGGCTGTCAATCTGCACCATCAGACCACCAACCAAACACTCACTCACACACACCACTTTCACACGAGGGAATGTGGTCAAGTGTCCTGCCTTGTTTCACTTGTTTCTGACACAGCTTCTCCAGAAATGCATCTCGTCACGTCAGCACACAAACCCTTATTTTGTCCTGACCACGTCTAAACACCAGGAAAAAATCTCACAAGATCATTTTTCTCATGTGTGCACAAACTTGTGGCCTTTGTGTCTTGCGAGATGTTGCCACAGTAAATATACACATACATACACAAATAAACACAAAGCTAAAAAAAAAGTGACTCACCACGTCTTTCTGGAAGTAGATGAGAGCTCCGGCCGCGATCTGAGCGATGAGGATCAGCAGGAGGCAGGTGAAATACTGAAAATAAGAAGTCAAATAAGAAAATAAGACGACCAATAACTATAACTATTATTCTTAACTGTCATAGACACGTAGACACCGCATTTTTTGGACCATGAGTCGCACTTTTTTTCATGGTTTGGGTGTTTCCTGTGACTTAGGCCACGTTCAGTCTGCAGGGCTTAACGCTCAATTCAGATTTTTTTGTGAAATCTGATGTCTTTGCGAGGTCGTTCACATTTCCAATTAAATGTGACTTGTATGTGACTCCAGTGTGAACAGTAAACGGCCCAAAAGTGTCCCACATGTGACACTGGAGACACGACGACGTCAACCGCAGCGAGCGTCTCTGTGTTTACAGAAGTTGTCCAAACGTGGACGCGAACACTGAGTACCTGGAGATTTTAAAGTTCCTCTCGTACCAGAGCCAGAACATGAACAACTTGTTTTAAGGAGGACATTGAGAAGGAGAAGGACGAGGTTTTTGGTCGTGGTGTTTTGTGGGACAGCGGCAGCGACGTCCGTTGAAAGGAACGTGTGGATGTGGAGACGGAGCCAAGAGTGGTGAGTGGTGATGTGCTTCACTTCAGTCACACGGAGTTCATTAACAATTTTTGCCTACTTCAGCGCAGAATAGTGACGTCTGTGGCTTGTTGACAGTGTTGGGGAATAACAGATTACATGTACCAGAGTTATGTAATCAAATTATGAGTAACTGTATTCGGTTACAGTTACTGTTTCAATGAGTGGTAATTAGATTACAGTTACTTTGTTGAAATAAATGGATTACAGGGAGGTATTTTCCGTTTTCACATTTTGGGCTAAACCAGGACTAAAAGCAGGACTAAAGCAGGACTAAACTAGGACTTAACACTATGACACCTAACAGTAGGTGGACATAATTTCAGGCAGCAGTGATCTCATATAGAAATCATTTCTCTATCAATAATATTTTTTATATGCGTAAGTAAAGACGGGGCTTTTCATTTTCTTTTAGCAGACAAAACAAAACATCTTATGTTAAGATTTCCTGGTCTTTGCTTCTCTACAGCAAACAGTTGCTTATTCATGGAGACTTGGGCTCAACCCACAATTTGAAGAGAACAAACAAGAATTTTCAGGATGTGGTTGATACATTCGTGTAGTTTTAAAAAGCACGACAATATCAAGTAATCCAAAGTATTCAGATTACGTTACTCACTTTAAGTAATTTAATGGATTTTGTTACAAACTACATTTTGGGGTATGTAATCTGTAATCTGTAGGGGATTACATTTAAAAGTAAACTTCCCAACACTGCTTGTTGATAACGTGTAGGTGGATGAATGCACTTTGGCCGTTCAGACTGAAGTCACATGTCAAAAGATCAGGTATGTATCGGTTTCAGGAGCACATATCCAAGTGTCCTGGGTCGCGTTTGAAAAAATCGGATCTGTGTCGTTCAGACTGTCATTAAAAGATCAGATACAGGTCACATAGGGGCCAAAAAATCGGATTTGGGTCACTTCAGGCTGCAGTGTGAATGTAGCCTATGTCTCTAAGTGAATTTTCTGTGCACTCACCAGGCCGAGCAGACAGCGGACTTCGTAGATGGCTCCCAAACATCCCACGAACCCCATGAGCATCGAGAATCCCCCGACTCCGATCAGGATGTAGCAGGCCACTTTCACCGCCGTGGAGTCATCTGCTAAACACACAGGACATGACGAGTTACAACGACACGCTGGACTAATCATTTCACTAAAAACACAACACGTAAGATCGTTATTTTTCAAGATTTCCAATTTGACTTCCAGGTTGGAAATCGTGATATCGCATTTGGGAATTTCATAGCTGTTACCTAATAGTCATATTGTTTACTATACCAATGCCAAAACTCCTTAAATGTACACAGAAATTTATTTTTGTCAAATAACAATATATCAAAACTACTTTATTTTGATGAAATTATGTTTAAAGTAACAGAGAAATATGTTTTAGAAGCAGAATCAGGCCAGTGCACGTCAATGGTCAGTTATCCAGGCACTAAAAACAGTCTTACCCACTCCACAAAACGCCCGAAGAAAATCTCTTATTACACCAGACTGTCCATGTGAATGTCTGTGTCGACAGAATAATTTGAGAAGTAAAACCAACCTTGCATTTGAAGGATTTATGTCCGAGCAGCAGCGGTGAGTTGTTGCTTTGCCTGTCTTACCGGCAAAGCAAAATTCCACCGCTGCTGAAAAAAAAATCGTCCCTCAACATTCGACGATTCATGAGACGCAAGGTTAGTTTTATTTCATACATTATTCTATCGACACAGACATTTACATGGATGTTCTGGTGTAATAATAGATTTTCTTCGGGTGTTTTGTGGAGTGGGTAAGACTGTTTTTAGTGTCAGGAGAACTATGACCATTGACATGCACTAGTCTAACACCAGCGACTTCTGCAAATACAAGGACTGGATGGAATATGTAAAAAATTGTCTCCACACGTCTCCAACACTCTAGAAACAAGCCCAAACACAGATCGCCCCTAAAGCGCGGTACGTTTGTCCAGTGTGAGCGCAATCGGACCGTGCTCAGGGGCAGCACGGATGGGACTTCAGCCCGGATGGAGGAGGTGGGACAAAGCACGGCACGGTTACTCATGCACACGCCCAACTTTACTATACGAGAACTGTCAGGTACGCAGATGTTACTCATACAAGGAAAACTGTGAATAAAATCCAGATACAGAAGTTTAGCTGCCTCTCGTCTCTGACTGTCATCACTGCTCCACACTGTTTTTATCTCCAGAAACTCACAGAAAAGCATGTATCATTAAAGAACGCACATCAGAATCAGTATTTAATAGATATTTTTGCCGCTAATACCATATTTTCCGCACTATTAGACGCTCTGGATTATAAGACGTCATTAAATGGTCTATTTTCGAACTTTTTTCACAAATAAACCACACCGGACTTTAAAGGAAACACAACAGTGTGATGGGTGAGTAGTTTTGTTTGTTTGTTCGTTCACGGTGACTCTGGGCTTTGTTCAGTTGTGGCGTGTAGGGAGGTGCTGTCTGGGACCAACGGATTGTCGGCGTGTTCGCAGTGACTCAGTTGTTCAGTCGTGTCTAGAAGCGGCACGTTGCGCTCGCTTTTTCGGTTCGTTCCTCCGTTCCGTTCCTCGTCGGCGTGGAGTGATGAGTGTGTCTGTGGGTGTGTTTCGCTGTGCGGTCGCTGTCTGCTCCGTGTGTGTTTGCGTGTTCTGCGGGTCGGGCGCTCTGGATTGTGAGGTGCGCGGTCTTTTTTTTTGATGCGGTTAGAGGCTTAAGAGCGCGTCTAATAGCCCGGAAAATACGGTAGATATTTTCTCCACTAAAAGCATGAGCACATGTAAACAAACCGCTCCGTGTGATGACGTCACTGGGCCATGACACGGTTCTAAAGTCCTCGTGTGAGTGCGCCCTAGGAAATGACGTTCCATGTCCAAAGCTCCAGACTGTCCCTTTAAACATATCCATCCAGCGAGGAGAAAATTCAGTTTATCGACTGGACAAGACGTTTCGCACTCATCCAAGCTGCGAAACGTCTTCAACCAAACTAACTTTTGTCCAGTCGATAAACTGAATTTTCTCCTCGCCGTGGATTCTACCTGGACGACTGAGGGATTCTTCACACAAATCCATCCAGCGTTTATTCATTACGGGCGTTTCTTTTGCTCAAAAACCCAATAATTCCTTCTGTGAATAGGGGCGCCTCTCCGCAGATCTGACCTGTAATGTAGAGTAATGCTGTAACCTGCTCGTCTCCCTCATGATAAATACAGTAGGTTTAATCTGTACTGTGGAACATTCTAGACCAGGGGTGGGCAAACTACGGACCGGGGGCCATATGCGGCCCTTTAATCTTCTTAATCCGGCCCGCCGAACTTGATAATATTCAGTGTTTTTCAAAGTCATTTCAATAAATAGTAAATATTGTGGGACCTGAAAGACAGAGATTTTGTTATAATGCATTGTAATGATTTTCAATTGTGCGATATTTCAATTATTTTGTTATTTTTTTCTCTTATGAAGTGGATTACCAAAAAACTCCATCCATCTGCTCCTGGTCCGGCCCTTCTGTCAAACTTTAAAACCCTTTGTGGCCCGTGAGTCAAAAAGTTTGCCCACCCCTGCTCTAGACAAAGCAATAACATTTCCATGAAGACAGTGCACTTTTAAGAGTTTCAATGCCAAAAATCAGAGCTGCAAAATCTAAACTAAACTTGAGTTGCCGCATTTATCAAAATCACAAAGCTACTATTACTTAGACAATAGAACGCTTTCTGCAAAGGAACAAAATATCCTGTGTTTTTATAAAAGACTTCGCCGTCCCCTGTCGTTTAGCCAATTGTTAAAACTCCAGCAGTCTCAACAGAATCCCATTTTCTAAACAAATATTGAAAATCTAATCACAAATTTCTCCTGATGCTCGCCAGAAAAACTATAATATCAAAATGGGTCAGTAATGGGGTCACTTCTGTCCAAATGTGGAAGAATTTAATATCTGAGATGGCGACTTTAGAACGGTTAAGATATTGTTTTAGTGGTAAATATCTTTGAAAACTGTTTGAAAATTAAAACTGTAATGGAATAATATTGATTCCACTTTGTTATAGCTGCTGCATTTAATCGGGATGTAATGATATCCGAATCTCACGGTACGATATTTATTGGGATATTTTTGTAGATGGGACACTTTTTTGCTTTTGAAATACCTGGAAAAGATTTTGGTGTGAATTATTTCCTTCAGAATCCCAAGAATTCAAGTAAAAAACATATTTCTTCATCTTGTCTGCGCTGAAATGAATCATGGGAAATGTAGTTCCTGATGTTTATAAGCTGTTGCTACTAAAAAAAAAACCATGGATTTAAGTAAAGGAACTTGTGATTCGATGTATTGTGACAGCCAATGAAATTACTGAGAGACTTTTGACGATACGATATCACGATATTTTGGTTATTGTTACATCTGTAGCATTTAATATAGTTTATTTCATAGAATTATTATACTATTAATTTGTTGATGTAACATGCTGTACTGTGCTGTTGTTTGTATAAATTAAAGGGATAGTTTGAAATTTTGGACATAGGACCTCATTTCCTAGTGAGCCAGAGTGTTGGAGACGTGTGTGGAGGTCACTGGTGTTAGACTAGTGCAGGGGTGTCAAACTCATTTTGGTCCGGGGGCCGTATCCAGCCGACTTTGATCCCAAAGGGGCCGGGTCAGAAAACTCATGGCATATAAACCCCAAAAATAACAATAAGTTCAAATATTTGTGCAGAGAAACGCAAATCTGTTACAGAAATCTTTTTTAATTGATGAACTCTTTTTTTTACAAAATATTATAATATTATGAACAACCTAAAACTTTAAGAAAAATTTCAACACAATGTTTTAACATGAACTTGTATGCAAATAGGAATAAGTCCATTTTTCTCATGTTTGGACATTTTGTTGATGAGGGTGTCACGGTCAACAGTCAAAACGATCGTCCTTTAAGAGCGTTTGGAAAGAGACAAGTTCTTCATTTGTGCTGCTCTGGTGGGAGGGGCCACGTACAGAGGCGCTGGAGACGCTGCTATGCTGAGCGGTGCAGAAAATTACCAATATTTTAATAGAAAATATAATTAAAATATTTTAGTAGAAAATCACCCAAGGGCCACATTAAAGGTCTTGGAGGGCCGGATGTGGCCCCCGGGCCTTATGTTTGACACCTGTGGACTAGTGCATGTCAATGTCCATAGTTCTCCTGCCACTAAAAACAATCTTACCCACTCCACAAAACACCCAAAGAAAAACTATTATTACACCAGACTGTCCATGTAAATGTCTCTGTTGATGGAATAATGTTTGAAATAAAACCAACCTTGCATCACATGAATCTTCGCATGTTGAGGGACTATTTTCTCATATATCAGTCCGCCACTGTCGAGCTTCTATCAGGAAGTACAACTCACTGCTGCTGCTCAGACATAAATCCTTCAAATGCAACGTTGGTTTACTTCTAAAATCAACACAGACATTTACATGGACAGTCTGGTGTAATAATAGATTTGTTTTGGGTGTTTTGTGGAGTGGGTAAGTCTGTTTTTAGTGGCAGGAGAACTATGACCATTGACATGCACTAGTCTAACACCAGTGACCTCTGCAAATACAAGGACTGGATGGAATATTGAAAAAAGTGTCTCCACACGTCTCCAACACTCTGACTCACGAGGAAATGAGGAAATTCTCTTTAAAAAATACACAATAAAATTTTTTTAGTTTAGTTTATTTTATTTAACTTATTTGGTGTCATGCATGGACTTGTAAGACACATGAAACAATAAGCAGACAGATCACACATTAAATATAAAGTGTCCTCTTACGGAAGTCTCAGGTTTTCAGCACAAACTGAACTTGAAAACATTACCTTTAAACAAATACTCCAGTCTCTCCTCATCAGACTTCGCAAACAAACAGTAAGATACATTAGACAACAACTGACATGACATGAAACATGACAGAAAGGACAGTAGAACAGAAAACGCATTTCATTTTCAACGTCTTTTAAGTCAGACAGAGACACAGGGACTGAGTGGAAGTGTCCCGTCTCCCGAGCCAGAGACCCCCAATATAAAAAAAATAAATAAAGCATCAGGAAGGTGCTAAAAAAAGTCTAA